TATTACCAGGTAGGGTAATACACATTTGGGATAGAAAAATAAGAATGAGTGCAACCTGGGGTGCTGCTCAAGTTTTATATTGGAGAAGCCTCTTTTCTTCCAGGGAAGGATGCAGCACTAACACCTAGGCAACTGTCTAGATGCTTCCCATGCTTTGGTTTGGAGCCCCACAGCAGATACTTGGAAACTACACTTGCAAGAACTCTGGTTACTTTGTGTAGCAGAAGGACATTTAGTGAAAAAAAAAAAAAGAAAAAAAGAAAGAAAGAAAGTCAAAAAACATAGTAAGTCATTATTATTTACAAGCCAACTGAGCAGCTACCCACTGTTCTTCATGATCTTCAGATGAAGTCTCTCACCATAGACAGATCTACACAATCTATGGCAAGATTTTTCTGGCATTTCTGAGAGAACCAGTCACGTCTCACTTTCCCAAGAGTAGATTTGCTATGGTGAATGGATCATCATTGCCCACTAACTTCCTACAAAGTTCTGTCTTCAGATGCACCTTCCAGTGGCACCCTTAGCTCTAAAAAATGGTGCATCATCTGGGGGAGAATCACCTAAAGAGACATGTTTCCTGTATTGGCAATGTAATCCCCTCTAAATTTCTGTTTTCAGTCTCCTCCAAATAGTGGCACACCTCTCTATTCATAAATATATTGATCTTGACTAGAACTCTATCCACAAACCCACCACTCAGTTAGGCAGGTTACTTGATGCCACATGGTTCTTCCGATGGTCTTTGGAAGACTATGGAATATTTCTCCTGCAGTAGGAAATCCTAGCTATCTTAGACCCCAAAGCTAGCTTAGTGAACTTTGCCTCATTCTCCTAAGTGACTGGGATTCACAATACAATATAAGAACATAGACACATGAGAAATAGAAAATTTCTAGTAATAACCATGGCTTGCATTGGACACTGAACAACACGGTTCTAGTCTGTTCAGATATAACAATATTATGAGAAAGGGAAACATATAGAGCTTATTTCTCAAGAATTTTGCCCATGAACATAATTGATAGGCAATGAAGGGTTAATAATTAGGGAACATATCTAAGAGAATGTTGGAGGTATCTTCATTTCCATTCATGTTTTTTTTCTTTTCAGATAAGTAAAATCTGGTTGTTTTTATAATATTTATAGCTATCATTTGGCGCATACTCTATGTTAAGAAGTTTACATGTTTTTTACTTAATCTACACAATTGCCCTCCCTTATCCCCATTTTATGTGCAAGGAAATCAAGTTTCAGAAGAATAAAGTAACCTGTCCACTTCTTGTAAGTGGGAGAGCCTGGATTCAGCTGAGGTCCAGATTCTAATGCCCATGCACTGTAGCTCACAAATGAAGACAGTGAAGAGGAAAAGACAGGGTTTTAGGAAAGAGGCTATAGTTACATGAGTAAACAAAGTCTCAGAAGAGGCTGGAAAATTGGACTCAAAACACAAGTATAGAAAGAAAGATATGTCTTAAAAGGTGGAAATGTACTTCTCAGAGACAGAAGGAAAAAGTACATTAGAAATTAAATGGCTGAGTGTGAAGGCATGGACCCATAGTCTCAGCCACTTAGGAGGCTGAGGCAGGAAGATCCCTTGAGACCTGGTACTTGAGGCTGTAGTCACTATGACCATGCCTGTGACTAGCCACTGCACTCCATCCTGGGCAACACAGCGAGACTCCATCAAGAGAGAAAGAAAAGGAAAGAAGAGAGGAAGGGAAGGAAGGAAGGAAGAAGAGAAAAAGAAAGAAGGAAAGGAAGAAAGATTAAATAGTTTTATAATTTAAAGTGACATTACAACTAAAATAATATTGAATGGTCACCTGGAAAATTAAAGTTTGCATAGGTTTTTAAAGCTACATTGGACAGTATGCTAAAATTTTGCTAAAGAGTAGAATTTAGTGTAACAGGTCTGTCTTGGACTTTAGCCAGCCACTTAGTTACTGATCTTATAATTAGTAGCACTCACTTTCCAGACAGCCCCACAGTGCAAGCCAGAAGCTATGAGGACGGCATTCCTAAATCTATATAATACAGTCTCACAAGGTAATAACAATAGTAGCCACAATATGATAAATGACAAGAGCTTTAGACAGAGAGTCAAGAGTCCTAAATTCTAGCTGTAGACTTACTAACTAATCTTGTGAGCCTAAGAAATGCACTTAACTTCTTTGTGACCCACATTTCTAGTCTGTGTAGGAGGAATTCATTTACTCAACAAATATTCAATGAACGACTCTGATGCTGCACTCTATACTCAATGTCTCCACTCTCCTGGAACTGACATCCTAGTAACAGGTATCAGAGCCAGAAAATCACAAAGGAAGCAAATCCGTAAACAAAGTTTGAGAAAGTGACATGTAGAAAATAACACAGGAAAATGTGAGAGAATGTGCAGCAAGGAGGTGCATTTTAAGCTTTTACCATATCAAGGCGAGAGATGATGGCTGGCTCTTGAAAAAGAATTGGATAGATTCAGGATAGCATAAGATAAGATTGACTGGTGACTAGATATGGGGTGATGAAGGTCATAAGAATCAAGCGTGAGTCCTAGGAGTTTTTCAACAACTGTGTAAATGAGGGTGGCATTTCCTGACCTGGCGAAAATGCTAAAGAAATGAACCTGAGAGTCAGTAAACAAGAATTCTGTTCATTGGTTTTTAGATATTGCCCTACAATAATCTCTGAGGTTGATTCCACTTGAAGAAACATTTCATGACTCTAGATTGTGATCACATAGGCCATTTTGAGAGGTGAAATATGGTGTGAAGTAAATTATATTCATGCCAATGAGTAACTGAAGCAGGATAGAAATGGTGGTCAAGAGAACCCAAGACATGTAGAAACTGTGTGAACCCAGGTGGTAAAGTTTATAAATGCAGTTGTCTAATTCGCTAAATATAAAGATCAAGAATAGTAGTACAAAGAAGATTGTTGGTCTAGAATGAAAGTCACTGGAGACTAGCAGTGGTAGTCTGGAGATCCATACATGACATGCGGAGCATGGTGTATACATCTATCTGGAAGACAGCATGGCAAAGCAAGGACGACAGGGACTACTCTCCGCCATTCATTTGAACAAGTGATCTTACCTCTGCCTCTTTATTCTCAAAGAATAAGTGAGTTAGAGGACTAGAGGAATATGCCTGGGTGGGTTTAGTGTGAAACCTACCATTTTATTTTGTGAGGGCTGGACTTATCACCTCATAAGTGTGAAAATAGTTGTGAAAAACCCCTCCTCATCCTCAGCACTTCTAGTAAATGAATTCTTTTTTAAAACCCTTTACTCACACAGCAAATGATTCTAAATATATCATAGTCCTTATTCCCCCTCCCTATTCCTCATGTTCTTCAAAAGAACAGTCTAAAACTCTTGCGATCAGGAATGCAGTGTCACAATAAGTTTATGCAAATACAGGGTTAATTGCTATGAACACATTTCGATTTCATTTTTCTACAAGTGACTGCACTCGAAAATACTCATTTTCCGGCATCTGCTTCATAGGAAGATGCTCCTGAAATGTTAGGCAGGGTGGGGGACATGGCTGTCGCCTAAAAAGGAACCACATTGCTGGCATCATGGCCACTGATATAGGAGAGAGGACCAACTATTACTGTTCCCGTTTACAACCAGAACCAGACACAACCAAGAACCACTCGAGGTATTACAAGTCAAAGCATTTCATAAATTCTAGTGTAATCTGCAAACATCAGATGTGATTATTATGTTCTTATTCAATCATGTAGAAATGGATGTTGGTTGTAATGGGGAGAATTCCTACAGCTTTTCATTCCTTAAGGCTGGATCACAAATGTACCATCACAACCAAAGCTGGTTTTAAACAATCTAAGCAATTACTGTTGCTGAGAAGAATGATGATTTGACATATGTAGCATTAATTTGACCATAATAGTTTCACTTCAGCACTAGATATTTGACATTCAATAGTGCTGAAAAAAGTAAAGGGCTGTTTTATCACACCTTTTTACATTTGGTAAGTGATAGGTCCCACCCAATTAAAGTTCCGTTTTATTTTAAATGATAGATTTTACCAAAAACACCTACTCTAAACCCCTATCTCATCTATTTCTATCAAATTCTAACCTCTTCTTAAAATACAGAAGCAGATATATCAACTAAAATTGTCCCCTGCCATACTTAGCTTTGTAATACACTTACCTAATAAATTTTATACCCTTCTTTCCTACCCACAGAAAATATTGGCTTTGCTATTTTTTTCTCTCCTCCTAATACCATCATTCTCTGGTTCTATTCTCTCTAAGTTCATGTACATACAGGTCTCCATTATGACAAAACAATATATTATTCAGCCCTTTAATCCTTCCATTCTCAGTCATGTTTTTAAAATGCTTCCTTCTCCTCCTCCCTCTGTCAGTAAAGTGAAACATATAAAAGACGCACAGCACAACATATTTCTAAAGTAAAAAGAATATTTAGCATAATTGGCTTTGTTTTAACTAATATGCAGAGCATCTCTAAATGCATGTCCTCCTTTATGAGTTGCCACTGTCATATGATTTTCTTTTAATGTGAGCTTTTAAAGGCTGATGACCCATTCCCCATTAAGCCTTCAGCACTGTAATTCTCCCATCTAGGAAGCCACTGTGTTGATATCCCAATCATTGACTCTGGTATGCTGGAGAACCTCTTTACACAAAGCTAATCATGTGCATTTTTTAAGTCTTACTTTACAAATGCAACCAGATACATTGACATAAGGCCGACGCACACCATTCTGCCTCCATATCTACATCTCTAATTCGACATCATAAAAGTGTTAATGCTAATTTTATTTTGATTTTTCTAACTAAACATTTCTGTTATCCTAGACAATAAGATTTATGATAAATTATTAGTAAATTACTCATCTTGTACTATTACAAATAGTTTCAAGAGACCATACCTATTGGGAGGAAATGCACAACTCATAGCCACTGCAAGTTCATGCGAACTGTTGCCATGTTTTCCAACTCACAACTTCCAGAAGTCAAGTCTACATCAAGCTTAATAAAAAGCCCACCAAAGGCAGTGATCAAGATGTTCAGATCAACAGGGCATTCTAAATTCACTGTCTTCCAGGTCAGAATTAACATAGTAATTTCCAATCAAAGGACACTGGTCATCAAACCCAAAACCTGTTCAAAAACAAAACAAAAAAAGGACAAAAATGAGATTTAAACACAACTTAGAAATTCCACGGGTTTATTTAGGAAGTGCTATTTAAGCTGTAAAGGATTTTCTGTTGTTCTTGTTTTAAACAATTTTATAATATTCTTTTGTTCTTGAGTTACTCTATATCCAAATAATCATGTATGTAAATGACTCAATACAACAGTGGATGCCCTGACAATGTAAACATTATTGTTTATCCAGAAGCATTATATGTTCATGCAAAAAAGAAAAACAGCATTGTGGTCAGATCAAAAAACCACAACTGTAATTGTTTATTTATATAGCTCACCATTACTCTGTAGTGTAAGTTTACATTCTTAAAAAAATTTTAAACAATGCTGAGTTAGTCTTAGAAGAGTGAAAAAGGCATGGTTCGCCTAAATGATTAAAGGCAAACAACTTAGGTCTATGCATGCAGCAAAATGCTTTAATATGGAAATTATTCACTTTGCCCAGGCTTATAGTTTTCATTTTTATGCTGCCCTTGAAACTCCATGATAACAGGGCCATTCAGTGGAATTTCTGCATTTTTCTCTTTAGTTCAGGGCAGCTGGTTTCTTTCCTCTCGAAGCAGAAAGCTAAAGTATATTTATCACTCTAACAGTGACTCAAAACAAACAGGAAGTCTTCATCAGCCGGCTCCTGGGCATAGCTGATATTAGGTACTGGCAGAAAGGAAACAGAGACCTCATTCTCTGAGAGTCTGACAGAATGTACACGCAGATGCAGGCGATAACAAAGTTAGGGATGCTCCCAATGACCACCATGTTCTCCCAGGATTAAGTGCTCTGTGCAATGCTTGCCAGCTTTCAGAGTCTGTGAAAATTCCTCAGGAGTTTTCCTTTCCATTGCAGTGTGAAAGAGAAGTCTGAACTGGATACCACGAGCCTTACAATCCTTGTGAACCTATGCACCAAAGGAAACCTGGGAGGGAGCTATTCTGGGAGATTTGGCTTTGATCTGGTTGCTAGGAAAAAGCCCTGCTTTTGTCTGGAAGTATTCTGAATGGCTCCTTCAGTCAGAATGAGGCCTGCAGGTCACTGTCTGAATTAAGTGAAGAGGATTTTTTTTAACACTAAAAATGAAGTTGTCGCTGTATGCCATAATAAAGCTGGAGAGAGCGGACCGTGCTGCTGAGCAATGGCAACGGCTCTCTGCTACAACCTAAACTCCAAGGTATACTGTGAAAATCACTGAAGCGTGCTTGCAGATCAAATAGATGCAAATATTCCTCAGTGGCACATATGTTCCTAGAGACCTTTGCCTTCACCTCCTTTTCAAATGAAACCTGTTTCAGATTCAAAGCCCACTTTGTTTTTATTAATACAATGTTCACTATCAAACCATTTTTTTAACCTTACTAATAATAGAGAGGTCATACAACTCACACCTAACTTTTTTCGGCCAAACCAAACTCCGAATGGCTTGCACTGCAAACTACTGATAGTAATGCACAAGTATTAGGCAATATACTTTGGGGGGGTTCCTTTCAATATTTTCTTTTTTATTTGTCAGCTAATCTCTTTGTTTATGGTAATGTGTGTACCTTTGTATAAGGACTTTACAGCCATTATCTAATCTTCACAGATCCTGGTGAGGTAGAAAGGGAGCAAATCTTATCACCATTCTACAGATGAGGAAACAGAGATGAAGGGAGTAACAAGCTCACATTTTAAGTGGCGCATTCTGACCAGATGCAAAAAAAAGACAGTATGGCACAGGCTTTGTTTTTCCAGGAGTGAGACTAGATTTTTACCTACCACCCATCTGTTCACCAGTCTCCTTAATGACCAGCATTTCCCAGTGACTGCACAGACTCTCCACACAATCTGTTGGGAAAATAGGCAGCAAACTGACCCACATGAGGATCAAGCCCTTGACCCTGGCTCCACTGGCACCAGGTGCCCATGAACTGAGCCACAGACTGAAAACCTAATTGCCCCCAAGCAGAATGGGACCAATTGCTCCCCTTCTAAATCATTCCGGGAAAGAAAAGAAGGGGCCACTTTTCATGTATTTATCTAGTTTTGTTCTTCCTCAAGCTTGAAATGTATTTTTCATTCCAAGCAAATCTTAAAATACGAGATAAAAATACAAAAGTAGCAGAGAGCTAAGAAGTAAACTACTTAAATGAAAATTTTATTTTAAGAATAAATGAATAAATAAGAGGAAGGTATACAAGAGCTGGCACCTTAAGGATCACAGCATCATTGCTGGTATGAAGTGATTCTTTACTTGTGTTTGTATCACTAGATGATAAAGATGAGGAAAAGTTAATGATGAAAGAGACTGTTATCCAAATAATATAAATATCCTCTTTTAAAGACAGTAGAGGATTTTATTCCTTGGAAAAAGTTACAGTAAAAATATAATGAAGACCGCTGGAGTATTAGATAGATGCTATGTGTGTTGATCAAGTGATGGGGATTATCTTCCCAAAACAGGCTTTGGAAACAACTATTGTATGAAAACACCTTCCAGAGGTTTCAGGAGCAGGAGGAAGACAGCCTAGCCTATCTTTTGGAATGTAAATTACCTTGCAGTCCACCAGGCAAAAAAATCATGAAGCCCAAACCAGACATCCCTACCTAACAATGTTTCAACTAGAAAACAGAAGTGTTTTCAGGATAACATAACATAACTTCTCTCAGTCTACCTGTTAACTTATTCAACTTTCTTTTCAAATTCTATATACAGTTGTAGATCTGTGAATTGCATATCCATGAACACCACAGAAATTTCTGAAATCTATCTCAGAAAGCCACAAAGCACATTTAGGTTTTACTATCAACTTGATGGATTCTGAGCTCTCTCAATCAAGGACTACCAGTGTGTTGAGCCCAACTCTGAATGTGGGCAGGGACCAAATTGCTTTCCTGAAATGGCAACGGGCTAACAGTACCAATTAGCCAGACTGCACAATGGTTCTTCAGAAACTGCTAAAGACCAGCACTGAAGACCCCTCCTGAGTAGGACCTAAACCCTGGGGCTTGCTGTACCCATACTTATTCACTGCTGCCTGTGCAAATGTTCCAGCAAGCCGAGAGGACTTGGCATTAATTTCTCAGTGTGTCGCCATGGCTAGAGCTAAGCAAGGGCCAAAAATGAATTAGGTAAATATAGGATGCTTCAGGCACAAATGCAGCAGGTGAATTTATTTGCAAATTACTTTTTTTTATCTTTCTCATTTAAGATTCTCTTTAGAGACATAGAAGATAACTTTATCATTTTAAAAGTAAAGAAAAGCAACGTTTGCGTTCAATATTTGGTTCATAGCCAATCATGCAAAAGTATGTCTGAAAGAGTCCCTTTTTAAAAGTTATTAAAAGAATAATAAAAGAATCCTTTTTTTAAAGTGATTATGCATTTATTACAGGATTATTGATTTCAGTGATGAAAATTGTATTGTTAGGGTTGGGTTGACCTAAGACAGTTTTTTTCCTGGCGATTTCTCTGTCATTTAATTGAGTCACCTTATTCCTTCTGCCTCAATACACAACTGTTCCTGTTATTTTTTGAATTAATTTGGATAAAAGCCTTCTGCAAAAGCCATCTTTCTGGATCCACAACCTCCTCTCTGAGCATTTGTTAACACATTACATTATACTAAAATGAATCCACCCACTAGAAATTAGACAATCTATCCTGGTTTTAATATTTTTTGAAAGCTTACAAAGTGCTAATCACTAAAGCAGTGATTCCTAGCTCTAGTTTTGTGACAGCCTGGGGTATCTCCAATTACCTCATAGATCAAGAAAAACAAAACTCCAAAAAATTTTCAGAAGAAAATTATAGTTGTTTTAATTTGAAATATAAATATCTGCCATGGACATAGGAAGTGTGTCACAGTACGACTTGGTGGGCTGGGTAGTTGTAAGAAAACAAACAACAATAGTCTATTGAAACTCCTCAAAGCTCAAAATCATTATGCTCTCCAAAAAAAAAAAAAAGAAAGAAAGAAATTCTATTTTATTTTTAGGAACAGAAATTCTAACATACACCTTATGACAGGCACAGAAAGGAACTAGGACAAAACCCATTCCAGGACATTTCCTGGAGAAGAATATAAATAAGGTGTGTCACACATTTTCATGAATAAAATAAACATGATAATATCTAATAACACCATTATACTATTCAGTGTGCCTAAATTACAGTTGTACTGAGAAATGAGAAAATCTCTGGAATAGGACCAGGATTGCTTTTTAATTGTCCATTAGAAAAAGCAAAAAATAAAATCGCCTGCAATGATTTCCTTTCGAGATCATTCACCTTATTTTTGAAATACAAAATCAAAAACATATTGAGACGCATGGTGAGGCTGGGTAATAAACCCGAAGCAAACTGTCTTCTTTCCTCAGCTTAGGCTCAGCAGCTCCAGCAAGCCCACAGTGCCAGCTTGAGACTGGCAAGGCAACTAGCATTGCACAAAACAAAATCTTTATTTTTCAGTTCCGGCTGATTCCACTAAGAACATCTTTCTCTCCTCACCTTTTCTTTCTTTCTTTCTTTCTTTCTGAATTCAGGTCTTTCTATTTACGGATGTGCTTCCATTATGTGAGATGTCCCCTAAGCCAACGAAAAACAATGACAATTTTATTTTCATATTAAGATTCCTCTCCCAGGGCCATATTCCGTGAATGAATGGCTTGTAGGACACACCACTAATAATAACATCCACCAACTATGCCAACACAAGTGCAAGAGAAGTGCAGGGAAGATAAGGCTAGCCAAAGGAATTCTCCCATACCTACAGTGGCTGGCTCTTTCCAAGAAAGCTGTTGGGTCTGCCTGCTTATTGACTTGTATATTTGCCAGGAAGGTATTCCTTTTACAAAGTAAAAATAAATAGCTCCTACAACTTCTTCCTTGTCTTGAAATCACCATTTCTATTAGAAAATAAACTTGTAAACTCCATCTGTTAAGATACTTGAGAACTCTACTAGATAAAACATACCA